TGTACGCGAAAAGCTGGGATGAAGAGGTCTTGTAATTAAGGAAGGAGAGCTTGCGACCGCTCTTGCGCCTGAGTGTGCAGAAGGCAAACCTGGAGCTCTGATGGTTAATATCTTGCAGAAATTGATGTATCCCTTTGTCCTCTAGAAGAAGCCAATTTGGAAATGAAATGTCCTCGGTGTGTAGGTCCTAGATCTAAACCAGGGTGGAATTCAGAATTGGGTGCCCCCTTAGATTCTGCTATGAAACGCTTGAACCTTGTTTCATTGGAGGTAACCGTACCTTTCGTAGTTGCAAGATTCCAGCTCAGTCCGAAGCCTGTTTTTCTTCCTTTCTAGAAATTCTAAAAGCCGTTATTCGTTGTAGGAGGAGGCTCTTGAACCGAGGGTCGTCAGGGCTGCTGCCGGTTTGCCAGATGAAGGAGAACTCAAAGCAGCTCCTCCGCTAGAGCCTGTAAGTCACTCGTATTCGTATAATGACTTACTTCATTTATTATTCTTGCTGTTGTCTACTAGACTGACCTGCTGACCTAGTGATTTTGTGTCAAACTTACATGCCGACATACTAAACACTAACATAATGGCATACTGACATACTAACTTTCTGATATGCTGACTTCATCGATGACACCATCGGTTTATGTCACTTTGACTTAACTTTGCCCTTCGGCGTGGGCCGATTTTGAATAGGTGTAACTGCCCATACATACCTACATACATTCGTACATGGCGTTGATGTTGGCGTTCACGTTGCTCACGATGTTGCTTTGTTGACTTTGCTCCTTCAGAGAGTGTCTCGAAGACCGCTCGTATTGAAGACTTTCCGCCCACCGTGTTTCCTATCATTTTTATCCCAATGTGCACTTTATCTCAACCCTTTTCACCCCTTTTTTTAGCTGCTTAGAATCGCAGGGTAATTTTTTTGCTATGGTAACCCTTCTTTGCACGCTGTAGGCGAAATAACTACGCGCTGCTCATTTGGCCCTCCCTGCCTCTACTTTTCTCGTCTGCTTTGAATCAAGTTGCGGATTTCTTCTTGGAAAACACTAATATCATTCGCACCTTTCATTCCATGGGAAATTCTAGCCTAAATCATATAGACAAACAAACATATCGGGCGTCAGATTTATGTGCATATGAAAAAAGTATCACTCGAAGGACTGATACTTACCTAGGCAAACTAAATCGTACACCCTTGCTTGGCCAGTTAAGTAGACTTGATTTGTCTACGAAAATGAATGCATTCCCCCGTGCATCGGTTTACCGCGCAACATCGTATGGGTCATCCATGCCTTCGAATGAATTTGGGATCACTTAGGGCCCTAGAACGAGATTGAACTATATCGGTAGTCTTTGCTATTATGGCCCACGCCCACTGGTCCGGATGGAGGTGCTCTGTCGTGTGCAGATCCGCCGGAAATGAGCAGTCCTATGCCGATGAGGTGATGGGACATTTTTGCAAGGCCGTCGATGTCACATGAATTGTTCTTTTCTGTTACAACAAGTCTGACAATAAGAAAATTTGAGTTTTTTTTTCAGGGTGGTGAACTGCCGAAAGCCCTAGAAAGTCCAGTCGAGTATTCCGCAAAATCGCCGCATCCTTCGAGCGAAGGGTAAGTCGCTTCAGTAAGCGAGTTCACTCAAAAGCGCAGTTAAGGATGAAATTATCTCAAAAATTCCTCATTGGTGAGCATCTATGGACCCTAGATTGCCTCATGAGGTATTGCGGCATTGAAAACCTGCTTGGATCGGGCTAAACAAAGCCCCAGAGATTCAATATCTCCGAAAACGGAAAAGAACTCTGAAGCGACTGAAATCTCGTCCGGGAACCCTTTTCGATTTCGAACCATAAATTTTAGGATTACAGTTTGTGAAGTCTACGTTCTGGATAGGGTTTTAATCGCCCACGATGAACTACCATGCACCAATACTCTCGCCGGGCTACCAAAAAAAAGGCACGAGAAACAATGACGAGCTATGCCTTTAGTCCAATTCCTGATTCGCATAGTTACTAATTAGTTACTGATTCTCCTTTGTGAGAGATACTTCCGCCGCATCTTTGTGGCCTTTCCTACTCCGTAGAGAACTAGCGGTATCATGGGGGAAACTATTCCAGCCATACATTCACATATGCCTGTATTCAGATGGAAAGAAGCACTCGATCAAGCTCCTCCATTAGTCGATTCTGGACCAAAACCGCAGCAAAGTAAGTTTTTAGTGCACATTTCGGACGAGGTTTATGGCAAGCATAGATTGCAATGAGAGTGTGAGTTCTAATGAGGAGGGGCCCTTAGCTCCTTGGTGTGTGACTTCGTTTGCCGTGGCTTCCATATTTTTTGAACATTTCTTGTTTTATTTCAGTAGGACCACATCGGTATCGATTCGTTGTTCCTTTGGTCGTACTCGCTGACATAAGAGGCAAAATATACAGACTTACAACACATTACACAGTCACGGTATGTACTTCTCTAAACTTGTCATTTCAAAATTTGTTTATTTATTTATATAAAAAAGTAAATTAATGTTGCCTGCTCCCAACTCTGATCCGCTATTTCTCAATAATGAAAGGAACTCGAATGTTTTAAAGCCAAGTAATTAGTGTTGTCTCTAGTACCAGACATGAGTAGTAGTAATCCAAATTATCTAATCTAAAATTAAGAGCTTGAACCACCTCCTATCCTTATACCGAGGGATTACAGGTATTGTGAAAGTGTACCCATCGGTTTTGTAGGTTATTTCAAAGCAGGTCCTGACGGTTATTACAGCTGCTTATGGCCCCATCTTGTGAGCATTAGGCGCGCGGCTGCGCAGCAGTCGGTACAATCAAATAATGGTAGTTATAACCCTAATGCCAAAAAAGTATCCGATCATACTATGTTGAGTCCATTCATGGGAAGTACGTCTACAACCTTTTTTCCAGAACAACGAGCCCGTACTTGATTTTAAACCACTAACCATAACATTCAATGGACAATTATTGTGGCAAACCAAGGGCGACGTCACTCAAAACATTGATTTTGATAAGGTGAATAGGAAAACTGTTTGCTTACTGTAGGTCCTCTACCTTATACTTGAACTTGTGGATTTAATTTCAGATAACGAGCATTACATCCGGTCACGGAACATTCACAGAGCATAGCCCGATAAGCGTTGAAGATAAAAATCTTAAACAATAACAGTGCTGCTATTAATTTGCTTTCGTGGCTCTAATCGATTATTTGTGAATGAAATTTATTACCGGTTCTATTACTAGTATTCTTGCGCTCATAATTTTCTTTAGATAGAAAATAAATTAATAAACGTGATAGTTACACACACTACCATGAAAGATTAGTATTTATGTGATAGCTTTTAGAGAGCCGGAACGGATTGAACTTGTGAAGTCAGTCAGTCGAACCATGTCAACAGTTGCCCCCAATCTCCCAAAATTTCCTTTCGCCTGTATGGTTCAGCCGCTAAGTGAGAGAAGCTGCAGTTGCAGCTGTAGCAAGTCATGCAAGCCGAGCTGTGGGACGAACCGCCCAGTTAGGGCGGGGCTTATTCACGAATTAGAGACTTGGATCACGTTAAATAATAGTAGGGTTCTTTGCTCAGCACAATAATTCTATGATAAGCATTTGTCACCTGCTGATGAACCGCGGCACTGGCAGCGCATAGTGTTTAATAGGAAGCTTGTCATAGGCACTTGTCAAGTTGTTCTGAAAGAAACAATGAGAGCTGCCCAGTTGCGAGTATGTATAAAATTTATATCATATTCATATTCATATTCAAATTCTTGGAAAGGCTATTATCGAATGACTATGTAGCAGGGAGAATCCCTCTTCCAATCCCTTGTCCACTACGCTGGCTGGTAGAGTTCTCATTGTATTCTTAGCGCGACTCCTATATGGTTGTCACTTAATATCTCTATCAAGCTATTGTATCCAACCACAACTTTACTGTACTTCCGAAAATGAAATTGAAAAATGAATTTTTCGGATGAATTCGTTAAAGTTTTCATTTGATTTCCCTTTAAAAACGCCCGGATCTTGACAATACAATGACTGAACATAATTCGGTGAGCATATATTTGCATTCTGACCTGCACTGGCTGCTCCCTTTGCCAAGTGATCCACATAGTAGCTCGAGCTGGTCACTGAACGTGCTCCAGTCGGTGGTCCTTCCTCCGCCTCTGTAACGACAACACTTTGTAGCTGCCAGTATGCGTAATTTCTGTTTCATGCTTACCTCCGTGGTCGTCTCTGCTGTCCATCTCTGTCTGGAACCTTAAGGCAGTTTTCTTCAAGGTCTTCATCGAGGGTACAAGCTGAAGTGCACTTACACTCAGTTCATTACAAAGTTCTGTCAGAATACTTCCGTCTCTTTCCATTGCCTCTATATATTAGGTTGATGCATAATTATTGCGGATTTTATCGCGGCTCTTTTTCTCTTGTTAGAATTCGGATATTGGGTTCGGGTTTTTCTAGAAATGTTCTACTTGATTTCCTCTACAAGAATATACTCAAAAAACCATCCGCATGTTTGCGAAATCAGGCTTAACTACTTCGAGAAAGATTTTAAGGTGGCGTAGTCATTCCGCGATCTCTGTAACTTTTCGGCGATCGAACAATCGGCCAGAGCCAAACAAGAAATGGGATCTGCCCCTAAATCAGCCATATTCACCACATATTCACCAGCGGAAACCTTTATGGATTATCTCGTCAACCGTTCATCGAAAAAATGGCTGGAGAATAGAAGTTACGTCGATTTGGATGACTCGATGGCCGATGTCAAGGCGTGGATCGCCCGTAAGGATCAAAACTTCTTCGCTTTTGGGATACGACTAACTAATCAATGGGAAGCAGTGCTTGACGTAGATGGTGAATAAGTTCCGAAGTAATTATTTGAATATTTCTTTGCTTAGTATTTCTATAATTTCTTTAAGTAAAATTTGCTGGAAAAAATCCGCATCAACCTAATATATAGAGGCAGGTAAAATGCAGGGAAATGTAAAATATCAAAATGTTTAACCGTATTTGACTGTGTTTAACCACCAGGAAATCATGTGTACTTTCACTAGATCACCTAATGAACGATCTCTGAAAAGTTACTGAGATCGCGGAATGAGTGCTCCACCTTCCAATCTTTCTCAAAGAAGTAAAGCCTAATTTTGCGATTATGCGGATGGTTTTTTGATTATATTCTTGTAGAGGAAATTGAGTAGAACATTTCTAGAGAAGACCCGATTTCAATATTCAAATTCTACCGAGAGAAAAAAGGCCGCGAAAAAATCCGCAATAATTATGCATCAACCTAATAGTTTTGCCCTTCCTCTCTCGTCTCTATTCCTCTCGTTCTCGGAGACTCCACTACTACAGTATCCAATATATGGGGAATCCCTTCTCACCTACTTAAGGCCCTCAATTTTTCAGACATCTTATCTAGTTCGCGCCCCAGAGCCTCTTCTGTTTGCTCTCATACCAGGCCGAAACTTTGTTCTAATCCATTTCTTCCCGCATTTTAATGGAGATTTTCTCAATGCTGGTCCTGATCTCCAGCTCACACACTAAACTCGAGTGTGGGAAGCTCACCTCTCCCGAATTTTCCTTCTCCGCCGAATCGAACGCGACCACCTCCATTTCTGTCATGCTCTGCAACAGAGTACTGTACTTATGTGACTCAATGTCACTAATTGCAACAACGACAAGGACAGAACGGTGGTTTCAACAATATTGTGTGCTGTTCGTCACTAATTGCAACAACGACAAGGACAGAACGGTGGTTTCAACAATATTGTGTGCTGTTCCCTCCAGACCACCCCTGCTTACGGTGACGGCATCAAGAACTCAAATTCTCCAGGTTACAGTGGCCCTCTCCACTGTACTTTTTCTGTGTTGCCCTTACTCTCGACAACAACCGCTCCGATAATAGGCGAACGATTGCTCTACTTAGCCAGTGCTCATGTTTTTTTTGTGCTCGGTCCAGTTCTTATCAGAGCGGTTCGGCCCCCATGTGATTTATACTAACCGTCCAAATGATGGTTCTTGCGACCTGCACGGAACAAAACACGAAACTATGCGAACTTTTATGCCATAACCAAAAAGAACAAAAACAAGGAAAATAAACTGAAATATTAAAACAATAAAAAATGTCGGAGAACTGACGACGGGGGCGAGGCCTGTCCTGTAAGGCCGAGCGTCGTTGGCGGCCAGGAGGCGTGCGTCTCCGGTGGACGCTATGGTAAGGAATGGAATCCGTAACTCTAAACAGAATGCCTCATTTATTTATACCTTAACAACCCGCGCAAACTTCCTTCAGGTCCTCCTTCATGAGTAGGTCGCGGGTGATTTTACCGCCTCCTCATGGTCCTTCTTGACCTACATGGCCCGCCTCTTGCGACCCCATGTTGGTCCATCCGACGTAGGAGATTTATCTGGAAAACACAAAATACCCTGATTGCGGATGGCGCAGAAAAGAGAAAGAGGTCCAACAAGGGATGGATACTTAGTCGCAGAGGCCATTTAAGATGAGATGTACACCCCCGCAGGTGGTTTCGGAAGCCGAACTCAAATCTGTACTCGAAATATGCTAGACGATTCTAGAAACTAAGTTTCGGGGCTAAGGTCTCTCTGTCTTATACCGCTGTACCGAACGGATCACCAAGCCGAGCGAAGCCAAAACTGCGCAACGGTGGCGCAGCTGATATGACGGTCGACATCAAGGCATTCATGACATTCGATTCCTTAATGCATACGCTCGTTTTGCTTTCCCATAGAATGCGTTCTAAACGCTCGCAAAATGTTCTTGGGTTCAATGTTAGGCATCCACAGAGCTCCCTCACAATTTAGGAACCCTGAAAAGGTATTACAAGAAATGTTTTTTTTTTTGCCCCTCACCGGGTGAGTAAGGGTGGAGCTCCATTTGAGCAAAAAAGAAAGCTTAAACATTTACTCAAAACGGGCTCAAGAAGCTTCAAGGATTTCGGGTGAACCATCGCATCAAACGCTCTTCAACATGTTACTAGCGAATCTTCTGACCGAATGTGGTGCTATCATATTTGATGGGGACTTTCGTTCCTGAAGCATAACGTAGGCACCATCTAGGAAATGGCGGTAGTGAACTGCTTTTGAACCGTACTTCTCGATGCTATGAAAAACCGTTAGGTTTTGAGATAGTCGAGTCCCTGAAAGGCGATCACACTGATCCTCTGCGGTCGCCTGATGATGAAAGCGACGATGAGCCTATAACGTCGCAAAAGAAACCTTGTACGTTTGTGGGGATATAGGATTTCGGAGTGAAACGTAGCCATCGACTTTGCGATCTGGCCTATGAGCTCCAATTTTAGCGCTGGTAGAAGAATTCATGGCCTACTCCAGTTCGAGTGTCGAAAGAAACCTCATTTCCTAGTGCATGTGCCGTCTTACGAAATTAAGATGGAGTGCGGGAGGTCATGAGATTCCGATTAAGACTATTATCAACAAATTACGATGGCTTATGTGGTTGTAACTATCAGGCGCAAAACAAGCGGATCGATCTGCCTACCTATGGAAATTAGCGGATAAATTGGAAGGATAAGTGACCAAAATTACTATTATATAACAGCCTCATTCCGCGACAGTCATTTCCACCAAATACCGCTTCAAATCAACAATGAAGGCCCATAGGGACAACTTCATATCAAGTCGTAGGTGGATTCAGGGTTTTGAGTGCAGGCGTGGTATCATGTCCCACCGCACCACCACGTTTATTTCATGAAAGTGCTTTTTGGAAATGTGTTTACCTCAAGAATAGAATTAGCGGATGATCATAAGTGCACAAAAAGCAATGAACATTGTTCTACAGTATTGCTTCAACAATAGCAGTTAATTTGTACCACCAAAGCGCGGACAGTAATCGTAGAATGTGTGGGCCGATCCCCCCCCCCCCCCCCCNAGCTCTGATCAGATGAGTCATTCTACCGCCTTCTACCGTGAGTGCGGGGCGCTGCCGAAAACTTCGAGACACCATCTTGACGGTTCGGGGCAGGGAGGGGATGTATTCGTTCAGTAGTCCTTAAAAGAATTTTATCGATTACTATTCCCCGGAACCCTGAATAGTGTAGCTTCGTGGATGCCAGATATTGAGCCCAAAAACGATTTGCAAGCGTTTAAGGTGCATTTCATGGAAAAGTAAAACGAGCGCATGCGTTAAGGAATCG